CCTTAGCCGCTTGAGCCACAGGCGCCGAGCCCTTTAAGAGCTTTTCCAGCCTCTAATTCTGGTATTGAAAATCTTTTTATCTACCTCAACATTTTCTTCCTTTTTACCAAGAATGTGTGATTTTATGTCCTTTTCTTCCAGGAAACCTATATTTCAGAATTTAGGTGGGATAACATGTTCTCCAGCAAAATTGTTCTCAAAGTAGAGTGGATGTTTGGAACTCGAGTTCATAAGTTTTTAGCTGTGTTTGTTACTTACAGTTTCTCTTCTTTGGAAGAGAGCTGCTTTCTGGTGTTCTGTTTTCCCCTTGGAAATGTAGTTAATGAAACCAGCTTGTTTTCTCTGACAGTACCTGGCACGTGGAGTGCTCTGGTCTGAGACCCCTAGCATAAGGGTCTGTGGGAAAGTGTCTTCCCAGTGATCTCCCAAATGGACCATTTATAGCTTTCAGCTTTTTGATCACCCAGTTCCCTACTTCTCCCCAAGGGAAAAGCAGCATTGAATGTGTTTGGAGGTATAGTTCATTCTCTGAGCTGCAGTGTGCTGATGAGGAATGTGTCAGAGGGCTGGGAACAAACTGCTTAATATAGCCGGTCACTGTGGCTCCGGTAGGGCGATAACCAAGCCTTTTCTTCTGATTTCCTCCCTGGGCCCGAAGAGAATTTGAAAGGCAAAGACATTTTAGAGCAGAATCCCTCAGGCTCGTCTGAGGGTTAGCCAGGGCTCTGACAGTTGAGATGTCTAAGAGATGAGTCCCATTTCAGGTAGTGACTCAGTCCTTTGCTGTTCAACAAAGACATCTGGGCCTGGAAGGGCCCTGTGACCTTCTGGCTTTTTAGAATGGGCAATGCTGTTGAAAAACAGAAACCCCTGAAACGGAGCCATCTGTGCCCCTGGAAACAAGGTAAGAAAGTCCTGGGTTTCATTTCCAGGAAGAAACAAGTAGGCAGCCATCTATTGAGAGATTTGGCTCAACACCAGAGCTGAAACTACATGGGGAAGCACCTTCCAGATCAGAAAACACTCGCGGTCTAACGTACTTTAAAGAAAATTAACAGACAGCTCTCCTAAGGAATAAAGTGGCTCATATCTTAATGTGATGGCTTGGCTGAGAATTTAGTTCAGCTCATGATGTTTTATCCAGTGTAGTATGTATCTGTTCGTTGAAAATTTTCACTTTTTTTTTGAGACAGAGTCTCACTTTCTTGCCCCAGGCTGGAGTGCCATGGCATGAGCCTAGTTCACAGCAACCTCAAATCCTGGGTTCAAGGAGTTTGATATCCAAGAGTTTGAGGCTACTGTGATAGTTTTGGCTTAGAGAATGTTATTAATAACTTTTAAATATATGGCACCTTTCTTCTACAGAGTTCAAGGTACTTTCTGTAAAAAACTCAAATTTATCCACCTTGGACCTCTTTTAACACCTGCTCTGTCTCTCAAGGATTGCATTTGCATTGGTTCGAGGAGAAGGAAGCCAGGAGGCTGCAAAGCAGTGCAGTATTGTGCTTGGAATTGGGGCACCTTTAGCAGTGTCCCAGGCAGTGCAGTCTCTGACGCACTTCGTGTCCTTTTCTCATAGTTATTCACCCAGTAGGCCAGCAGTTGGCAAGCCAGGCAGGCAGGCAGAGATGGCATGTGCAGACTGCACCACGTCTTTACCCACACTTGCCAGGAAAAGTCGCAGGAGCATTTGTTCTGTAGCAAGATACTTCATTCACAGCTGTATAGATGAGTATGTGTTTATGAAAAGAACGAAGAAAATTCATGGGAATGTTAACATTATTTGCCATTTGTGATAAAATTATAGGTCTGTTTTTTGTTTCTTTTTAAAAGGGATAGTGTAGGTGGGATGCTGATAACTGTCAGGTTCTAGCCCATCTGACTGTCCCTCAGTGATTCTTTTGTTTCACATGCCACTTTGAAAAGTGTGATCTGCGGTGATCTTTGATTAGATTCTGGTTTGAACAAAACATCTATTAAAAGACATTTTAGGGGCTCGGCACTTATAGCTCAAGCAGCTGAGGCGCCAGCCACATATACCAGAGCTGGCGGGTTCGAATCCATCCTGGGCCGCCAAATAACAATCAATGACAATTACAACCAAAAAATAGCTGGGCTAATAGCAGGCGCCTGTAGTCCCAGCTACTTGGGAGGCTGAGGCAAGAGAATCGCTTAAGCCCAGGAGTTGGAGGTTGCTGTGAGCTGTGATGTCATAGCTCTCTACCCAGGGCAACAGCTTGAGTCTCTGTCTCAAAAAAAGAAAAAAGACATTTTGGGGACAGTTCGGGAGATGTAACTATGAAGTTAGTAGCAGATTGTAACAGGGAACTGTTTTACTGGTATATAACGGTGAGCCACACAGGTGAACGCTCGGTCTGGACAGTCATGCTGGAGTACTCAGGTGAAGAGTTATGCTGTCTGTAATTTACTCTGAAATGGTTCAGCAAAACAGTTACACTGAATAAATAAATAAATGGGGGCCTACAGTTAAACAAAGTAGGATATATGTAGCAAGTGTTAGAATCCAAGTCATGGGGGTATGAGGTTTGTTATCCTTTGTCTAATGTATTTTTCACAAAAAAACATTAAAATACCAGTTCTGACTTGATGTCATAGTTCAGTGTCCTTTAGAATGAATCTTAGACAGGGTTGTGGGGGGAGACATACTGAGGCTGATCAAAGTGCAACGTTCTTCTGAATTCAGTGCCATGTGGGCTCGTGTCTCCAGCCTCCCAGAAGAAAGTCAGCATTGATCCAATAACTCAAAAGCATCACCTTAATATATTTACTTACTTTTTGATTGTCCCTGGTCCTTCTTAGAAAAATGTTAAGAGTCAAGGCCGGGTGCAACAGCTCAGGCCTGTAGTCCTAACACTCTGGGAGGCCTAAGCTCAGGAGTTTGAGACCAGCCTGAGCAAAGTGAGACCCCATCTCTACTATAAATAGGAAAACTAGCTAAGTGTTGTGGCAGGCACCTGTAGTTCTGGCTACTCAGGCCAGAACAAAAGGATCAACTGAGCCCAAGAGTTTGAGGTTACTGTGAGCTATGATGCCATGGTACTCTATCAAAGGAGATGAAACGAGCCTCTTTCCAAAAAAGTAAAGGAAAATGTAAGAGTTAAAATTTAAAATTTTCATAGGAAAGATCTGGATTTACAGATAAACAGAAAGGTTCCATCCATGTTTTATTTTGTTAACTTGTTTAGTTATGTTCAGTAATTTAAATGAGAGGCATCTTAGACCACTGTTGACAGTAGGGATTTCACGATCCATAGTGAGTTGGGGATAAAGAGAGCAGAGGAGCTCATAGCCTGTGATTTCTAAGCCCTTCACAGATGCTGTTGACCAAGAGCACATCTTTGCCATGTAAAGCAGACCTCTCCTGCCCCCCAAACCAGAGTCTGTCTCAGAACACGAAGCTGTTTTTTATACTGCAGGATGCCCTTCCAGGGAGCCACAGGGACAGGGCGTGGAGTCCTCTTCATAGTTGGTCTGTTTGTCTTTAATGGATGAGCACTTTTGGAAATGAGATTTTAAAACAGTGTTTAGGGACCAGATTTAATGAATCCTAGGCGCCACCCTGACCCTGATCTGAGTGTGTTTTCTGCAGTCCACATTCGACATAGTTGTGAAGTCAATGGTGGGTAATAATGGCTCCAGATTCCAGGGTAAGCAGTGTGGTCAGTGTCTACTTCAGGGGCTGGCAAATGGGAAACCTGAGCATGTCCCCATTTGATTTGTGACAGGCAGCCCAGGCAGCCCCCGACTTCTGCCCGGCAGGTTGCCCTGTGTTGGCAAATGCTCTGGGAAATACAGGCTTTGATGATGGCAGTGAGAAGGTCAAATTCAGAGTGCATTCCAAAGATGAATTTAGAGGAAATATTATCTGCCCTTTGCAGTGTTTACGTGTATTTCCATATCATACATGTGGAAAGTTCAGACCTAAGTGGCAGAACACCATTGTGAAGAACGTGAATCTCCCTGCCTCTGCCTGCTGTTACCCTCGAGAGCACTTGGTGCCCCTCTCTAATGACTTTGGGCAGTGTGGGACAGGCACCTAGTGAGGGAGCTGTGGACTCTTCTGACTTATTGCCCTGTTTTGTGTGTGTGTATACATGTGTATTTATTGACAGTTTTCACTCTGTCATCTAGGCTGGAGTATAGTGGTGCAGTCATGACTCACTGTGACCTTGACTCTTGGACTCAAGTGATCCTCCTGCCTCAGCCTCCTCGGTAGCTAAGACTACAGTGTGCACCACCACACCTGGCTCATTAGTTTTTTGTGGAGATGGGATCTTGCTAGGTTGCTCAGGCTGGTCTTGAACTCCTGGGCTCAAATAGTCTTCTCACTTCAGCCTCCCAAAGTCCTGGGATTACAGGATGAGCCACTGCACCAGTTCTGGTTTTATTTTTCATAGCTTTTAGGACCCAAAACATAACAAAATGTGTGTTTTTTTTTTTAAGTAATGAAATGGATGCTTTTCGTGGTTGATTAAATTTAATTCATTTATATTACCATTGTGAGTTTCAGTTGGCCCCAAACAGAAAATAAGATGAAAAGAGGGATAAGGTCATGGCTCCAATGTGATCCTGAGAGTTTCAGCCCAGAGTTCTGCCCCCCTCCTGTTGTCTGACCTTGAACAAATTTTATAATGCCGAATTTCCTCACTGCCCTCTTCTACATGGGCCTTTTCCACATGACTACATCTTGTCATGTTACTTACTTATTTTCTTTTTTATTCATGTGTTTACCACCTAATTGTAAGCCATCTGAGTACTGTCTACTGGGTTCATTGTTCTGTCCTCACCACTAGCACAGTGCCTGGCACTAGTGCCCATCATGAGGGCCCCCGGCTGCAACGTCCCCCTGGGCATAAATGAATGTGGGCATATGAAGGGCAGAGCCTACTGCACAGTGTGCACAAAAAAGGTGACTGCCAAAGCTGGTGGCTGTAAGGTTGGTGGTTATCTAGGACTTGGAAATGTTCATTCTTGGCCTTTCTCTGCCCAAGGTTGAGATATCCAGGAGTGAAAGTAGATACACTTTCCTCTATCCTGCAGCAATTCTGAATTTAGGAAGAGTAACTTATTGATTATTGTTCACATGGCCAAAGATTGCCTTGAAAGAGGCTCCCATAAAGAGTTAACATTTGGTTGTTGATTCAGACAAATTTCTGGGGAAATTTTGAAATTTAGAGCCAAATTGAACTTCTCTGAAATAGGCCTATAATCCCCCACCCCCAGAAGGGTGGCTGGCTAGCCCTCCCTTCTTCCTTCCCTCCCTCCTGACAAGGCAGTGTGGCTCCTGAGAGAGATTATTTTCTTTCTCGAAAATAATCTGAAGGGTTGCCTACAGTGTTCATTTTGTGTCTTGGGAATACAACTCTCACAGAAGTTTCCTTAGAAATTAAAAATTGCAGCAGTAATTGGAAATTGAATTGTTATCTCCTTCAAAAATCCTAGCAGCTCAGGGCTATACCAGTCTGGTATATGGAAATGTTAATGATTTGCATGTTTGTACACAGTGTGGGTGTGAGCAAATGGGAATTAGCACCCTGGGTGGAAGAGCTGACTATAAAAAGCTTCAGCCCACAGACTTTGGCCTGATTGTGGGTTTGCTGTGCTGGGAAGGAGATTGGCAGGAGAGGGTGGGCGGGGATGGGGGTGGGGAGGTGGCTTGAGGATTTGCTTCAGTTCCACCTGCCAGAGGTTGCTCTACCATAAGGGTAAATTTAGAAATGTTTGGATTTCGGCCAGCAAAGGTGTTTAGACTTGCCTTTTCTTGCTAGATAGTGAAGGAGCATCTGGACAGCTGGATTCCCATGTGCCAACTAATTAATATTGATCCAGAGCGCACGAGGGCTGGGTGCTGTGCTCTGACATCCAGCTCAGTGCCTTGTAGCT